TTTTTCCTATGATGACCTCTCTTCAACACTTCATTCTTGAAAAAAAAAATTATAATTGTTTCATTTTTACTGTTATCTCGATTTTTTCATATTTTCTTATTCTCTACATAATTGTTTTCTCCATGTAATTTTTTTTAATTTCTCAAAACCATAGGCACTACTACTTTTTTATTTTATTTTATTTTCAATTTTTCTAAAAGTATATTACTATTTAAAAAATTTATAATAGAGGCACTACTAAGTAAAATAAAAATCAATACACTAACTAATAATAAAAAAAACTGATTAACGGTTATACTTTAACACATAACTATAAAAATCAATACTGATTGGTAAATTGGTTTTTCTCATCATGGCCGTCAGGGAATTTTATTTTTTCTTCAACATCATTTTTTTTTATTTCAATTGGTTATCTCTGGATTTATTAGTTTAAAGTTTTTTTGGCTACCTCTCTTTCTTACCATTAAAATTCATCATTAAGGGATAATCTCCTATATTACTAAAATTTGGCCGCTTAATATATAATGATATTATTAGTATTATTTTACTATTTTTTCTTTTGTAATTTTTCCATAACATAATCAACAATAATCATTTAATAATATTAGTTAAGTGGCAAAAAGTATATTACTATTAAAAAAATTTTACAACCAAAGCACAATACACTAACCAATAAAAAAGAAAAAAACCTAATTAATGGTTATACTTTAACATATAACCATAAAAATCAATATAAAAAAATCATAAAAATCAATATTGATCGAATTGGTTTTTCTCATCATGGTTGTGGGGTGTTTTTTTTTTTTTTTAACTTCAACTTATTTTTTTCTAATTTTTCATTTCACTTGGTTATCTCTGGATTTATTAGTTTGAAATTTTTTTAAAAAATCAATATTGATCGAATTGGTTTTTCTCATCATGGTTGTGGGGTGTTTTTTTTTTTAACTTCAATTTTTTTTTTCTAATTTTTCATTTCACTTGGTTATCTCTGGATTTATTAGTTTGAATTTTTTTTTTTTGGCCACTCCTCTTTTTTTAATGCCGCATTTGCAATTGATAGCAAAAGGAAATAAGTTTACCTTTTTTTTTCTTCCTTTAATTTTTAATTAATTTAGTTTTTTATCTATAAATTTACAGTTTTACATTAAAAAATTACCATTAAATGATAGAGTGACGTAGTTGTGACATGTGGACTTGACTCTCTAATTTTCCGCTACCTAAATTAACCTATGTAATTTTGCGCCATGTGTCCGATTGAAAACTCTTCTTTAATATATATAAAGATATATACTATAGATATTTCATTTTCCAATTAAACTTACATCTAGCCATAAATCAACTTCCAACATAATTCAAGATTTAGTAGTTGTTTTACAAACCTTTTATCATTTTTGTTCAAACCCGAATTTCTCTTGTACGTATGAGTGTTCTTGTCCTAAAATTAAGCTAAAATCACAATTACCAACTTTAATTTAAACATAAATTTATAACTAACGGAACTGTAGGCAGAGATCCCATTACTAGAGCCCTCATATATTACATACTAGGTGTTTAAAACCATTGCTCTGAATACTCTGAATTTGAACTGTGTAGATCTCTTTTAAGAAGTAAACTCTCTCAACAAAAATACACGCTAAGATACACCATTTACAAATTGTGTAGAACATGTCAGACACAACTTTAGTTTACATAGATATATACTAGATTTTTCTGTTCCCTTTCTAATCAACAATTTTTGGTGACATGAAATTATATAATTTTTGGTGAAATGAAATTATAAAACGAAATATTCGACGCTAAAGATGTTTTCATTCTTAACATATTAGTTAGCTCAAAACATATATATACATCGCATCTCATACACAATGATTTTTTCAGAAATTTGTAGATGTACTCCCTTAAATTTGAGTGAGTGAATCATCATTGTAGCAGTGAAGTGGGATTAGTTAGCTGAATTTGCTCTTCCGAGATACAGATGCCATGATAGCCTCATAGCTGCTTGCGTATCATTGGCTAATTCACAATTGTTATGCGCCAAAAACTGCAATCATTAGCTAAAGTACTGACCCCTTCCGTCCTTAAAACAACAAAGGTTATGTTTATTTTATTGTTTTACATAGTTCAACAAATTAGCATGGAATGTTTTTTGGACGGAATATTAATTAATGTTGGGCATGAACTGAAAAATTCCGATGCATGATTTGTATCTAATTAAGAAACCTGGCTTGCACGGAATCACCATCTTTTTTTCTAGAAAGAAATTAGTCATTAGCCTCCAAAATGATATGTTAACAATGGGTTGCATCATGAGGAATCTGAGCTCTAAGCCCTTTTTCTGACACATTTAAATTGTTTAATTAGGGGTAGTTTAGAGACTTTTGTGATTATTAAAAGAAAAATACTGAATGGTCCAACAAGTCCATCCGCATATTATTTTAGTATGGTGAATATGCTTCAGCAGAAATGGAGTACGGAATTGCTTAATTTACAAGCTTAGAACTTGCTTAAATCAAATCTTTAATCCGAATGCAAACCTTCCACTAATATCGGTCATAATACCTCAAAGGCTCAAAGCAACTCCTCAATCTTGTTTCGATCTAGTTTTAATTTGTTTTTGCAAGGGACCAAACCATTGATCCATGATTAAAATGTTCAAAATCTCAACAAGATAACGACTTTGAATCTCACTAACTTTTATAAATAATTCATATTATGTATAAACTTCATTTGAGATGAGGTATATAATTAAGCGAAGACATAAGATTTCATTCATCACGTTAAAGTTTATATTACTTTACTTGACAAGTAATTTCTTCAATGAGATGTTATTTCACTAATATCCTAATCACGCACAGGATGCGACAAATGATCTCAACATTACTCCTTTGGTCTCGGCCTCAAGTGAACAAATTTTTATTTTGAGATGGAGAGATTAACAATGATGATATTTCAAAAATGAAAACTCTAAACCAACTTTGTGTATATTTCTATATCATATCATTTTATCTTCTCCTACTCTACATGTGCAACTCTTCAGAAAAATTACTAGCAACAGCCTAGAATGAACCCTTTTTGACATTTTACATTACACCTTAACCAATGCCTCGTTCTTGTCTTGGTCCCCAAACTTTTCAAGGGTTCCCCCCTGAAAGGAGAAAGCTCAGTAGCAAAGTCAGAAGCAACATCTTCAAAAGTGTCAAGGGGAGGGTCTAGCACTCCTGAAGGTGGGAGTGGGGCTAGCTAGGAGACATTGCCCTACAGTATTCCTTGGAAGCAATGAATAATTGATGTATATTGGAAGGGATAAAGGTAGGAAAAAAAAAAATAAAAATAAAAACAAAAACCTTCTGATCTTCTTTAGATTGATGATCATTCTTAACTTCTTCTAAGGAGCAGTGAGGAATGGCTGCTGCAGAATTTTGATGATTGATATGAAAATTAACAGCTTAGTTTTTGCGTTGCCTCCTTTACACCAAGAACAATGGGTGCCATATGTTGCGACTTTTTGTATTCATTTCAATCAGAAACAACTGTTAAACTTGTTTTTGTGTCCTTAGTGTCACATTTGCCTTGAACCCAAAAAGCCTGTTATAACTTTATACATTGATCTCTGACAATTTGGCCAGCTCCAGAACCAGATGTTGCAACCTCCAAAAACTAACAATACTAATATAAATGGCCAGCTCCAGAAGAGGTAACATGATAGTACATCTCATTTTGTGGCTACAATTTGAATGAAGCCCTTTACAACATGTAAAAAGCTCCAAATTTCACAAGAATGTCAAAAACATTGAGCCAGACTGGGGGAGATAGTACATTTCTTCAAGCAACATAATTGGGGGATCTACCTTTTTTTGGCCTTTTTTTTATTTTCTAGCGTTATATTATGTGAAACTCCAATAATATCGTGATTGAGCCAAGTTCTCGCTCGAACTTGAGGGACCTGACCTTTTGTTACTACACCTTAGCAAATTCCCTATCTAAAACTTAAAGCAAACTTCGTGGAAGGACCAAAACCAAAAAAGTTGACAAGTCTAGTCTAATCCTAAAGCAAAATTGTAGTAGTAATGGGTTGGGGGACCTTCCCCGTGGCCTCAGTTTGTGCTACTTCTTTCATTATGTCATGCTCATCATTGTAATTGATCAACACAAACACAATTTTTTAAACTTTATTTGGCAAATTCTTTTCCCACCTAAGATCTTCAATTCAATAATTCATTGTACCAACAAATTAACTAATCAGAATCCCTCCTAGGTACATCCTAATGTGCATTAGAACTACTGTTTAACTACAAACAAAACCCATACATTTCATTTTTTTTTTCTTTGTAATTGATTACAATTGATATAAAAGAAGTAAAGGGTTGTTAGTTAGGTTGGTGGAAGGAACAATTTGTATGTAAATAGGATTAGGAAAAGCACTATTGGAAGCATGACTTCTCTGAACTGGCATGGGTTCACAAGTTGAGCTAAAGAAGGGTATGATTGGATCATGAAACAAGGCTCGTGGCTTATCAAACTTTTTCCTCTTTGTATATATCTTTTTCTTCACTATTAGCTTTTGCCTTTAATTAATTTGTTCGGCCAAAAAGCATAGGTTATAAGAGAAGAAGTTCAATAGTAGAGACCATATTTTAAATAAAAGGAAGCAAAAGGGAAAGTGGGGATTTTGCTCTAGTTTGCTTTGGTAGCAAAAAAAAATCAAACAAATACAGATAGTAAAGGAAGAAAGGAAACCACAACATAAACAAAAAGCTATAAAGGCAAAGCTGTCAGTCAGTGAGAGTATTAGTGCATTGCTTCTGTGTCACATTTTATATTAAAAAAGAATTACAAACCAAATCAAAGCATTTGCTCCAAAACCCAAACATCAAAATTCCCATTTGCGTAGCACATCAAGAACAAGAAGCACAAGATTTTAGGCAAACAAAAGAAAAAAAAAGCTGAGAAGCAAAAAAAGAAAGAACTGAAGAAGAAAAAGAGAAGAAACAGAGCAAAACATGAAAGGCAGAGAAGGGAAAGGGCCTCCTTCCACTGATCTCTTGGTATGTTTTCCTTCTAGAGCTCATCTTACATTAATGCCCAAGCCAATTTGTAGTCCGGCGAGGCCTCAAGATACCAATAAACGGCAACACCACCATCCCGGCGGCGGCGGCGGTGGCGGCCACCTCAACCACCACCATCATCTGAAGAAATCCATCAACAGAAATAAAGTAGCAGGGCATGCCAGCCCTGTTTTGTGGGCTAAAAACAAATCATCATACGGAAAGGAAATCGATGAGCCAACATCTCCAAAAGTCACTTGTGCTGGACAGATCAAAGTGAAGCCTAAAGCAAGCTCCTGCAAGAATTGGCAATCCGTGATGGAAGAGATTGAAAGGCTTCACAATCATAGAAAGAACAAGAAGAGGCCTAATTGGGTTGAAGCATTGGGATTCAAGAAAGATGTCATGCAATTCCTAACATGTTTGCGAAGCATTCGGTTCGATTTCCGGTGTTTTGGTGCGTTTCCTTCGTCTTCAATCACTTCAGATGATGAAGATGAAGATGATGATGGTGATGAAGATGAGGATGATTATGATGAATTCCATCAACATGGCAATCATCAAAAACAGGGGAAAGGGAGCAGAGAATCAGACCATCATGATAGTGATCAAGCTTCAAGAACTGTTTTTTCAAAATGGTTTATGGTTTTGCAAGAGAACAACAATTCTACAAAGAAAGAAACGATTAATAACAAGGACATTAACAAATTGATCCGGGCTAAATTTTCCCATGGTGATCATGAAGAGGAGACAGAGGATGATGATGATGAAGCACCTTGTGCTCCTCCACCAAATGCATTACTTCTGATGCGTTGCCGTTCTGCTCCACCAAAAAGCTGGTTAGAACAGAAAGAAGAAGAAGATGAGGAGGAAGAAGAGGAGGAGGATGAAAATGAGGAAAAGAGGAAAAAAGAAGAAGAGGACGCCATGGAAGAAGAGAAGAGGAAGAAAGATAAGTTGATTGTGATGAGATGTGGAACTGATTTCAACAGAATTTCATCCGACATTGCAAGAGAAACATGGGTTGTTGGTGGAATTAAGGAAGCATTATCAAGAAGCCGAAGTTGGAAGAGATGATGATCATATTACATGCTGATCAAAAACTCGAGGTCAAATTTTTACAGATTTTACTTTCTTCTTTTTTATTACCTTTTTCTCCTTTCGTGAATTTTGCTTCATTTCTCTCTTGCTAATTTTGATCCCTCTCTTTTTCTTTTTTCTTTTTCTTTTTTTCCTTATGGCTGTTTGTTCATAGATTTGATAAGTTACTTCTAATATGGTGCTGTTTAAAATTCATGAAACAAGCTTCCTCTATATTCTGTTAAGGAAGTTAAAAATTAAGGTTGTAAGTTGTGAGCTGATGTGAGAAGCAGATTGTATTGTGGTACTATATATATTGTAAATACCAACTGAAAGTTCAAAATCTCTTGATGATGGTGATTAGTTTTTACAGATTACGACTTCTGGATGTATAATCTTCTTAATAATTCAACAATCTCTTTACTCAAAAATATTTGTGTTATTTATTGGTCTATGTTGTTATTTAACTTTGTGCTATGGATACGGAACAATTATTATAGAACAGAAGAACTCTTTCGAAACATAAATGACATAATGTAGATTTTTGTTTGGTACGAAATGTTGGGAAAGCTGAGAAATCTGTAATGGTAATGGTGACGATAGAGGAGGACCGAGGAATTAATGTAAAAAGGGGTCCTCGGGAAAACTTGGAACATATGAATCCGATCTAAAGAAGATTGGCTTTCACTTCATTTGTGTCAGACTTTCGGTCATATGTAAGAGAAAATTTTTTAACGATACTAATTGCAGCATATGCATCCCAAATTCCCAACTCAAAAGTAGACGATAAATTCATCCTCTAGTTCTTGGCGTATTGGCCGTACTAGTCCACACAAATTTTTTTTTTTTAAGCTTAAAATGATTATAGTATTTATTGTGTATTTTGGGTGAAAATAGTACATCTAATTAAATATAGTGACATATAAATTGGTACTAATATCATTTGAATTCTCATTTTTCACTCGACCAGAGTATGGAACTGAACGTGGATGATTGACAAAACTCAATAATATTCAGAAACTTAGCATACACGATGTACAAGGGAATGAGCAGTGTTTTTTTTTTTTTTTGCCTTTTTTGGGGCATTTTTTAATTTCAGATTGTTTTCATTTCGATAATGATTCGAGGATAATAGCTTATCAAAATGATTTAGGTTTTCAGTTGTAAGAAGATGCTTTCTCACTCCAACCTAAGCGTTGTATTCATTTATAATCCTGTAGCCATCCAAACAGAATTCTTGTTTTAGAAGTGAAAAAATATATAGACTTAAGTTACTCATTTACTCAATTAATCAATCATTAGATTATTAATATATACTAGTAATGTCTGGTCGTGCAATGCGCGACCCTGCCCCAATATATCTGTAGATCTTAGAAATGCTTGTATCTGAAAAAAAATATATTTTGTATTTGGACTGATATATTTTAGAAATGTTTTATAAGTGTGATCACAGAAATGTTTGTATTTGGCATAAAAAGAAATTGTACTTGGCCCGGTACATTTTAGAAATGTTTCAAGATTTTAGAAATGTTTTATAAGTGTTACTACTTAAATATAAATAAACTTGATCAAACATATATCTTCAAATAAATGCTAGACAAAACATAAAAGCATCCTAATAAGTTTAAATATTAGTAAGATAATTTATTGATGTTCTCCATTGGCTGTGCCAAATCAATACTTAGTTTTAGAGATTTATAATAGCTTTATAGTAAGCTTCCTCCAAAGGGTATACGCTTAATTGTTGGAACTATTTTTTCCACAAGTTTATAGGTAGTAAAATATCAAAAATATTATTTTGAAACTGGTTAATTGTTGAAACTGGTTGATCACAAATATCAAATGAAAATAATATAAATTTGCATAGGTTTCAAGTTATAGCAAAAAAAAGCTCACCTCACCATGGCAAATAAAAAAAAAAAGTAAAAGATAGTCCATTAAAAATTGAGAAATTTACTTTTTTTTTTCTATAGGTAAATGATGTATAAAAACACAAATAAACGTAGAAACATCATTTCTTCCTTCTCCACCTCAAATTCATAAAAGCCTTCCCCATAAATTAGTTAGAAAAAGCGACCTGAACTATTTATATGATAAGGAACTAAAAAAAGTCCAAAAGCCAAATCCAAAAAAGTATATTCTTGAAAGCTCGAACACAAAAAAAAAAACGCACTTCATTTGCAAATAAAATAAAATAATAATAATAATAATTGGTCAACTGGGAGTATGAAACAAAATCAAAAGCAATTAAACAAAGAAAAAATACACTTCATAACTGACCATATACGAAAAAAAACCTGAGACTCCATAATTAAAAAAAAAGAAAACCACTCTAATTGAATAAAACATAAAAAAAGAAATTTAAAAAACCACACTTTGTAACAAAAAGACAATTAATCAATTCAATCCAAACAGAACTAAAATCATACAAAAATTCTAGGCTAACTAACCATATAAGAAATCACATCATATTACCTGACAATGGCTACGATAGCTGTAACGGATGGACGCACAAAAATAATAGTAATAACACTATTCTTGAATGGGAAAAATAAAAAAATAATAAAAATCAAACAAATGATCTGTGGAAATAAAATCATTTAAATTTTAATACCTATAATGACACCAGCACAAAGGCCGAAGCAAGATCAATGAGAATCTTTTTTTTTCCTTTATGTTTATATAGAGAGGAAAAGAGAATAATTTTTAAAGTCGAAATTTTATCCGATTAAGATATAGTTGATGATTACTAATGAAAAGATTGAACATGTTAATAGAAAAAGAATATATTTCACCACATATTCTCAATTGATAATTGATGAGAAATTTATTTTTATTTTTTATTGTGGAGAAGAGATTGATTAGGGAGTCGATTGTCGTGGAGATAGGAATGAGTATTTGGGTTTTTATGAACCCGGATTTTTTTTTTTTGCGAAAATAGAAGGTGGAGGTGGATTTGGACTGCATTTGAGTCTAGGAGATGTGTAAATAAAAATTTATTTTAAAAATATGATGTGGAAATGCCACATGGCAAATGGTGGTGTTTTCTCTCAAGTGTGGTTTTTGTTTGTAATATAGTAAGATATTGTGTACTTGACATGAACGTGGTTATCTTTTTCCTAAAAAACATGACTCTTATTATGTTGGGTTCATTCTTTCTTTTTATCCGAAATTGTGTGGAGAAATACTGGACTGAACGCATATCACAATTCGTCTGGTGAGGAAAAGAAAATCTAATTGGTCCAAGTTTGTTTGAAATGGTTAATTGAGCAAAGTTGATATTAGAAAATAATTGTAAAGATCAAACCGTTAGAATTTAGAAATTTCTGTTTGCAACTGTAAAACAGTAAAAATTCATTTTATTTCAAATTGACTGTATTGTTTTAGTATCAGAAATATGACCATCATTTCGGGACGGAAATTTACAGTTATTCGATTGAAATAACATTAGTCTTATAAGATGTAAATTGCGTTTATAAATAAATAGGATTAATTTCACACATTTTCGTTATTTGTGAAAAAAAGAAATGTGTACTTCCGCGGCCAGCCAACCCAAAGCAAAATGAAAAGGTCAGAAAGACAACTCGAATCGGCAAAAGGTAGTCTACCCCAACCAAAACAAAAACAACTGTATACGTTCCAATTCTGCCTAAATGCAGTGGAAATTGTTGACAAAAATCAGCAGACAAATCACAAATCCCTTTTAAATCTAAATGATTCATATATAAATTAGTCAAAAATTTGCTGGTAAGATCCCTATGTTCTGTAATCATTGCAAAAGGGGAAAATAAAAAATAAAAATTCAAACACTGGTTGGTCGTAGTAATGATACACAAGGAATAAGTTTGTCCCTCAGTTATTCCAACTCACCCCCAGTAAAAGGAAGTTAGTCTTATTGGCAAATATATGAATGAATGATGATGATGCTCCATTTTGCCTTCACTTTCCAGGCAATACAATTTTCCAGACTCTTGAGATGATCATTATAGTCCTTCCTCCCAAAAATTCATGTATATAACAATAGGTAACAATTATGGTTGTAATTTAACGAGTGAAAATGCACCGGAAAAAGAATTATGGTTGTAATTTAGCCATAATTTAACAATTATGGTTGTAATTTAGCTACCAAAATGCACCGGAAAAAGAATGTCACTAGTGATTCCTCCTGTCTGGAAATAACTACTTCATGGTTGTAATTTAACGAGTGAAAATCTCTTGCAAAGTTGTAACAGGGCGGTTGAATTCTGGTGTAACGCGATTCGCTCTGCTGTTTCCATCTATTGATACTTTTAATGTCTTGAAGCTGTCAGAATTGCAGTAGAAATCTGCTGAAGCCATGAAAAAAGTTGATGAACATCAATAATGATGGTAATTATAGGCAGCAGCAAGCAATTATACGGATGATGAAAATTTACCAGCTGCTGTAACAAATTCAACAGGCTTCTCATTTACTAAGGCATCCTTCAGGCTAAGACTTCTTCTTGGTGGTTCCTGGTTTTCGTACTTCTGCTGTCTTTTAACCCTTTGAATAGCTTCTGAGTATCCCTTTCTCACCTCTTCTTCTCCAGGGACTTCTTGGATTAGTATTTCATAGTCTTTTAATGCAGCCTCCCATCTTTCCAACTAAAATGGATAATCAGGCATTTCAGAGATTAAGATCAATCTGAAGTGCATTTGAAGAGTGAAGAAATTTGATCAAATATATGTACCTTTGCATTGGAATCAGCCCTTCTCAATCTGGCCTTGCTGTAGGAAGGTCGAACGTATAGGGCTGCAGTACAATCTTCGACTGCTTTCTCGTGTTGTCCGAGCTTTGATCTGCAGGCTGCTCTGTTGCATAACAAGATGGAGTTGTGTGGCACTTCATCTAATGCTGATGTATAGACAAGACAAGCATCTACATATCTTGATGAGCTGAACAGCTTGTTTCCTGCTTTTCGCGATGATGCAACCGAGTTAATCCTCTTTGCGAGCGAATGCACTTCATCACTTGTGGCCATTTTTGCTGCCTGAGTAACAATATTCACTGCATCCTCAAATCTGTTCAATGTAATACAGTAGGTTAAAATCAACTACTGGCTTTAGGATCTATGAATTTGTTAAGGATACTACTGTGTTGAAATTTTTTCTTTCTAACCTTCCGGCTGTCAGGTAAACTTTTGCCCGAACCATCATTAACTTTGCAGTTTCAGAAGCCCCAAATAACTTAGTACAAAGCTCAACACTAACGTTAGGTCCTTCATCGATGACTTTGTAGGCCTCTTCGTGCCTGCGCAATTCCATCAGTGCCTCTGCTTGCATAGCATAGACCTTTACAAGAAGAAGAGACAATGTACAATAGATTTAGTACTAATTGATCAATGCCTATTCAAGTTTGGGAACAGAAATTTCAACTGTTGGAAAAATATTAACCTGTGGTGCTGAATCTGCTCCGATATTTATTGCTTCTCGGCTATCATTGAGTAATGCCTCCCAGTTTTTCTCCCTCCGAGCACCTGAACATTTACGAATGTGTATCCGAAGTTTCTCAGCTTCTGCAATATCCTTACTGCTTGCTTTACGGCCTGATTGCTCGTAATGGTCTATTGCTTTCTCTGCTTCTCCCAATCTGTTGTGAGATGAGAAAGAATTTGTGAGGACTACATTCATCCCAAAATAATAATCTTGTTTCTAAAAGCAATTTAATTCTTAGAAACACGACTATCTTAGTGCCATTGCAATTGCAGTGCGACCTTGAAGTTACCAGCAACCGATTCCAGCGATTAAAGATATGAACTTCTATAGTTCTCATTTCTTGTAGAATGAGTTTTTAGTGATCAAAAATAGATGATTCATACCTGATATACAGTCTTGCCATACGGTAATGAGCATTATGGTAATAGGGCTCCAGGCTAATAGCGGCTGAACATTCGAAAACTGCTTCCGTGAGACGGCCTAGACTCATCAGAGCAGCACTCTTGTTGCTATAGAAAGATGCCTTGTTTGGATCAACTGCAATGGCTTGATTGTACAAATCCAATGCCTCCTCAAATTTTCCCTCTTTGAACCTTTCATTTCCAAGAGATTTCAGTGAATCAGAATCCATCTGATTCATCATCATTCCATTCTTCCCCTCCCTGAATGAGTTACTGACATTCCTCTCATTTCGCTGCTTCCTCAAAATGTTACCAATTGCAGGGACTTTCACCGGTTTGCTGTGGGCATTTTGGTTCAAATTTCCCAGTTCGCGTAAAAGCATAACGCTGTTTGCTGAGGCTTTATACAAGCGCCCGCTGTCGCTTTCTTTATTGATCCTTTTAACAGTGGACACACTCAGTTCACCTGATGTGAAAGTTGGTTCCCTCCTCAGCTTCTTAGTGTATTCAGAGTTCACAACTTGTGAGCCACTGATCATACTCGAACCAACCATGCTCGCGTTGTTGAAAAACGACATTGAGCTTTTGGAAGAGTCCTTATTTTCATTAGGCCTAATTCTGTGTAATGCAGTAGTTGCGCTGGTATTTAGGCTTGGTTTTTTGGGTGGTTTTCCTGATGGCTTAGGAAGATCAGCTTTTTTAGGTAACATTGATGAAGAATTTGAGATGGCTAACTCGCCTTCGCCTGAGCTTCCATTTCTCTGCCTCTTTGAATTCGCTGAGGTTAGAAGAAGCTTAATTCGGCCGGTGTTCTTGCTTTGGCCTGATGATGATGATGATGTCCGGCTGCTGTTTGGCCGTGTCGGCCCACGCCGAAGAATAGCTCCTACAAAACCACAACCATCCTGTTGAGAATGTGCTGGAGTTTCTGCCATCTTAAAAAAACACTCTTTCTTTCTTTCTATTTCTATCTATCACACTGTTTCTGAATCCACAAAATAGTTTAAATGTAGGACATTTTGAAGGAATTTGCAAGATTCAAAAAAGGTGGAAAAGAAGTAAAAGAGCTATAGCTTGAATGTGAAGAGTTTGATTGGTGAAAGCTACATATGCAACATCTTTTCTTATAAGGCCTAAAGAGTGGATGCCAAGGAAACACATCTTTAAGTTTATGCCTTTTGCCGCCATTGCAGGCAAGCCACTTTCTCACAGGACAAAATTTTGTTAAGGTTGGAATTAGTCTTCGTTTTACATGTTCATTCTTTTCAGTATTGTAAAACAAAAAATATTAACGCATGAGTTCAATCATCCGTTTCCAACTCCATTGGAAACCAACTACTCACTTTTAATTTAATCCATGAACAGCTGTTATTCATATCAGTGATGTTACAAAAAAATAATAATAAATAAAAAAATAAAAGGAAAAAAAAAAAAGATCAAACACTTCTGTTCCTCTTAGCTCTGACTCAAAAGTTCAAACCAAACACACAGCCAACATCAGTAATTGCACTACCAACAAAGACTTAGTTTCAATAGTAAAATTCGAATTCAGAGTAATTTTGTGAACAAGATACAGAGTGAGAAGGGCTGTGTCAGTTAAGGCTTGTGTCAATATCAAAAGTATATGTAATTATTCGCAGTTTGGAGTTAAAGTAGCAAAGTCTAAACTTGAGATAGGTCAATATGAACACATAAATTAATTTCAAATATATTGTGCACTTGAGAAAAGTAGGAAGAGTACTTTCGAATGTAGTGTTACACAAATGGATGTGACAAATGGAAGATATTAGACATTGTATTTTAACTAAATGAAAAAATACAAAATGAAATTTGAAGTTGGCGTTCTGAGATCCCCATGGAATTTTAGAAAAATAACATACATGACTTTCTTATATCGGGATTAAATTTTTAGATCTTTTTTCTTTTCCCCCAAAAATTCTGCCAGACGAAATGAAGATGTCGATAACGTAAAATGTCCAAACAGCTGCTGAAAGTCTTTTTTTTTTTTTTTTTTTTAAACATAGTGGTTGTGGTGGAGTGAGAGGGACTCCTCCACCCTCAACTATAGATGGAGGATTCGAATCTCATCATGGCCATGGAACGATCTTAAATATTTTGGTCAGCTAACCTATCTATTGAGGTTCCTACCATTCCGTGAAGGGGATTAGTCACTGTTGCCGACGGTGGACACCCTGTAAATATGTAAAAAAAAAATATTTGCACCAAGTCGATCTCTTTTCGGAAAATAAACTCTCTCAACATTGCTCTTTCCATTCACGATACTCGAACCCGATACCAATTATATATATATATATATATATATATTGCTTTAAAAAATAATGAACTCCGATAATACAGCTTGAGACTTGGATAGTTCGTTTGACTTCGTTCAAAAATCCATTTTGCTCGCCGCCGGCTTATAAATGCTAAGAAATTATTCAGATTTAAGAAACACCACACCGGCGGCAAATTTAAATTATGAATCCATTTTTTTTTTCCCATTAACTATCTAAATTGAACTGGTTATAGGCTTGTACTAGGAAGTTTGATCTGATCAAAATCCGGATGCTATTATGATCCATCATTCATGAATGATTTTTGTAAGAACCAAATAACTAATCCTATTTCATTTATATATCTACTGTTCAATGCCTGTCATGCATGATACGGAGTACATCCTAAGTTTGATTAAATGACGAGGGAAAGGATCACAGTTTGTGATAGAGTAATAAACATATCGTACCGACTCAGGCATCGTGTAAATTATTCATTCGCTAAATTTTTCAAAAGATAATAAGTTTATCTTCGTCATCTCAATCATCAAAATGAGATTTGCATATGCATCCACTAATGATTTTTTCACATTCTTCAATTAGTTAGGACATGGTTCTTTCTAAACTTCCCTTTTGATGCCGACAAATTAAAGCTAGCTTGACATTGATGAAAACTTTTTACCTTTGAGAATCATTGCTGAATTTACTTCGTTTTTCGACCATTTTTCATTTTCTAAAATATAGATCGTTTTACAAATTTCAAGTAAATTAATAACTATTTTTCCAACTTTACCCTCAATAAATTATGCCAATCTATTTTCATTTAGTATTGCTTATAGTTCCAATGTAATTAATGAGGGGTAAAATAGATATTTAATACACGAATTAAGTGTTGGATGATTGTCTACTTAGTTTACGTGCAAAGTGTAAAGTGACTTATATTTTGAAATGGAGAGAGTATAAAATACCATGAACAAATTTACATCTCTTTACACTAGCCAAACTTATCTAAAATTTTAGAACTCGAGAATTTTATTTATATATTTTTTGTCATCGGGAGACTAACACCAAATTTCTCGAAGGTTTCATATAATTGTCTTCCACTCAAGAGTTTGTGGTTACCATAAAACTAAAATAAAACTTAAAAAGGGGTTTAATTTGGAAAGAGAAGAAAAAACAAACAAAAACAAAGTAATCGGCGAAAGCAAGATGTACTAAGATAATATCATGAGATCTGGTCTAAATCTTAGCTCATCAACAGGCCGAATAAGAAGGCACTTTTACGATGCGAAACGACAATCAATACAAAACAATTTTGATTGATTCACAAAGCGTTCAGTTCATCCTGTCCCGGGGCACGACATTGAAGAATCTCATCTGGATTGATGATTTTTTTACTAAATCTATATTTGTATATTCGAGATATCCAACTGTATCCTAAATCCTAATCTGTACAGTTAATTAATATATCTAGCTGGGTTGGTGGATGATATGAAATAAAAGTTTGTGACTAATATACACGATTTGGTCTAAATTTTTTACTCATATGTTAAGAATTTTAGACATTTTATCCTCATTCATTGTTTTTTTTTATAAACAAAAAAAAAAAAAACCGTTATCCTTACCTAATCGGGGCATCCCATAATTAATATAGAACACATTGTTAATGTGGGAAACTATAGTCATAAATAAGCAAGGCATAAAGTAAAGATTAAAGATCGAAAAGATACGCCTACAATCGTTGAATTCACGTAACAGAGAGAGTTCGTGCTTTTCGTTATCATAATCATAATAACAAAAGGAGTAAACTTTAACACTCTAAATCATGCAGTAATAACTTTGTGTCATTGTGTGTTTTGGACCTTTTGTTTGGTGTATTTAAAAAAAAAAATAATAATATTCTAACTCACAATAAAAAAGAATTTATTTAAACTGGTCGTAAGTATATCGTACCTTTAATATTCTAGCTCACAATAAAAAAAAATTTATTTAAACTGGTCGTAAGTATATCGTACCTTTAGTTTCGGACGTAGATATTTTAAAATGGTTGCAATGTTGGGTCAAAATACCGTCTTGCCTATATTGCAGGAAAGACAAATACAGTACTGTATTAAGTGGTCGATCGAATTTTTACATTTAAATGTTTAAATTAGGAATTTATGTATATCTAGAGCAGATATAGATTAAAATCCACATACTAAAAATTTATAATAATTAAAAAAAAAAAAAAGAGTAAAACGTAGAGACCGAGGAAAGTGTAAGCCGTGGTTGCATTTTTGCTACACAAGCACGTAAAGCAATTACACTACTACTAAAGCACCCGATCCAAGGTGTATATATATGCGGATAAGTTCTTTTTTGTTTCGTACTTTTTGGATATGACTTGAAGAAATAACATCCCAGCATTACAACTTATCCTTTTTATTGCAATTGCGAATCATTCTTCCAATCTAGTTCTTACATCTCTGCGTGCCCCGATTTCCAGTTTTAAATCTTCATTGTCAACTGATGCTTTATATTTGGATCGTTTATTTAATGTGTATTTTTAAGTATTGTTTATATTGAAATGTCAAAAATATGTATTGAAGATGTAAAAACATATAATGGGATCGATATTTATCATGAATACAAAAAAAAAAAAAAAAAAACAGCCAAACAGGGATATCATCAGAATCACTGTCAAAGCAGTTTGTTTGAGAGAAAATGGTGAAGAAATCAGCGGTTTATCCAGTTAATAAAACTTTTAGGCCTTTAGATGAGCCCATGAAGCTGTATCCATTTCAAATATTTTTAATCCAAATCACAGCTTGTTCCGTCTCACTCTGGACTAATTAGTTCATATATTGGGCCATCCATGACTTCTCACGCTGAAGGCGATCATTTCCTCCATGTGAAATGACACCCACTTTTTTAAAAATTGTACCTTAAAATTCTAAGTAAGCGCATCTTTTTTTCTTTTTTTTTTAATAGTATCTGGTGTTTTTTTTTTTTTTCAGGTAAGTACCTGGGAAAAAATTCTCAAGACAGTATTTAAAACTTATCCCGTACAAAGAGAAATATATGACGGTGATTTGAAAACTAGTAAACTATATCGAAAAAAAGACTAGTCGATAATACACTTGTCTCCGTCAGAAACATTAGTACAGTGTCGCGCTAGAGGACAGTAATCATTGTCTCCGTCACTGTGATTCGCATCTTTTGGATCACCATTCATGGACTGCTGCATTTGGTGGGCATATTTGAGAATCCTGAACAGTGAGTGATACACAGAGAATTTGGAATCGCTGCCTCCAAGTTGTCACTGGTATAAGCGTCGTCAGTCGACAGGTATAAACTAACTAACCCATAATCCGATACAGTCCATTTGTAGGCCAACCTGAAAATCGATTTTTATTTTGAACGAGTCGACGAATCGGCTATGTATGAGTGAGCCAGAGAACCAGCTTTTGTATACTTAGGAGGTTAACCGGGTTGAGGCCGAAAACCCTAATTTTGGGAGTTGTTCCGGTGAACCGGATTGAGACAGATGGCTGGAAATCCAGCTTCTACAATAAGAAAAAAACCACAGAAAATTAACAACAAAAACAAGAAAAAAAAAACAAATACAAGGTGGATTCCTTCAAGATGACCGCATCTCGGATTGTTCGGACGTCGATGGCTGC